CCCCTTAATCTCAAGCACCAGCAGCATTTCATTGTAAAAGAGAGGCATATTCAATCCCAGGAAGCCCTAAGCAAAACACATGTCGTGCTCCAGGACAGAATGAGTGAGCTGTATCTCCAAGATAACACATTAATGTGCTGGACGGGACCCCTCGCATTCATGTACACAGAGGTTCCACCAACACAAACTGACACACAACAACATTTGTTTCAGATATACCTTGCAGCGGCCAGCAAATAGCATCAAGCTCCAGCGCTGGCTCTAGTTAACCTCAAATACACATCACACAAGCCCGATGCTGCAGTCTTCTCTACCCAGGGCAGGTGAAATCCCCACTGGTCACAATTACCCAGCCAAGCACCTTCATCAAACACCCGGTGCCTGGGAGCACGTCTGACGCACCCCGGCCCTAATTCACTCCCACTCCAAACTACACTGCATAGGGACCAAATAGCCAAAAGCAAAAACATCTATCCATCCATGTCTCAAACTCTGGAGGAAGGAAGGCGGTGGGATAATGGTGTTGTTTAGCCATTGCCTTTTGGATTGAACTAGCAGGTGCTTCCGGCTTTTTCTAAAACCGTGGCAAATGGGAAATGTTTTATTCATGATCCGTGATAAAACTTCCAATGTGGTACACACCGTATGTAATGGCCGTTGACAAAGTTCAAAAGTAAAAAGGTTTTTCTCCATGTTTTAGTGGCATAAGAGCCTGGACAATGGATACTGACAGAGATAGACTTATGCGGAACACAGCAAAATAAAATAAAAACCAAACAAACATTAGTCCACAAGACAACAGAAACAAGCCACAATGAAATGGAACCATAGAAAAACAATGGAATTTTAAAAGCAAATAGAAGTTCACAACACAATGAAAGCAAGCCACAATAGAAATGCACATGACCACTAGGGGGCAGACAGTCTGCAGAAAAGAGCTGAAACTCTATGTGTACTTAGGGTTTAACGATACATAAAAGTTACGATTCGATATATATCTTGATAGAGAGCCCACAAAACAATATATTCTCGAGTCTGAAGTCTGAAATCTGGAGTGATGATGTTAATAATGCAGCTTTAAATTACATGAATAAATACTATTTGAAATGGAATTCAATAAGAAAACAAATAAATAAATAAATAAATTCAGCCAATGGCAAAGATAATTGATTTCCTTTAACATTACATATATGTACAGTATAAAGAAAGAAAGCATCTGCTCTACTTGAGAAATAGGGGGAAAAAAGGCAGGGGAACAAACGGCCAATATAAAACAGAAGAGAAAATAGAAAAGCGAGAGTGGTAGACAGTTCAAGACTATCTTTCCTTTGAGCTGTTGGGGAAGGTAGCTTTGGCGAGTAAGAATAAAATAAATCCTGTATATCAAAGGAGTGTATATATACAATGATTTTGCCTCCCTGCAGACTCTAAAGGAAGGGTTATGCAGCCTGACAGGACATCAGCTTAAACCCTCCCTGCTTCAATTTCAAAGTCCTCAATTGAACGACACTGCAATTCCAGCTGGACTTAAAAGAATGTTCTGGGTTTAAGAAAGGTTAAGACGCAGTCAACAGCATTATTACGTCTATTGCTCCACACATTATTTTACTTATCTCCTAATTCAAAAAGTCAGCGTCTGGCGAGTTTTTAAAAATAATTGAAGCTTACATTTGTGTAATAAGACTTGTATTTATTTTGCCTTTAAAAATGTGGATCAATTGAGATATGTAATGCAATACATTTCTGCATATGTAAAAGCAACTTGAACTTGATTTACTTGATATGGTACTTATCATCAGTTCTAAGTTCTCTTGCATGAGACACTTAGGCCACGTTTACACTAATATGTTTTATGTTTTGATGTTTTAGAATGAAAACGATCCAAGGCCACACTGGCATTTCACCTAGCGTTTCTGAAAAGATCTACGTCCACACTATACCTCTAAATTAATTTGCACATCACGTGACCACACACACACACGCACACGCACACGCACACGCGCACGCACACGCGCACACACACACACACACACACACACACACACACACACACACACACACACACACACACACACACACACACTGGCATGCATTGCAGCAAATAAGCACGTCTGAGCTCCAGGCAGTCGGTGGGTGCTGTGAGCACACCTCCCCAGGTGAGAGCAGCGCACGTCGGACAGTTCATCAAGGATTTACTGCTAGATGTCATCTCACTATAAGTGTTAAACGTGATATTTAATTAATTTTGTCTCTATCTAATGACTCTTGAACCTATTACTTGTTCTCAGGTAACGTGTTTTGGCTGAGTGCAAAGATAACTTATATTTTATAAACCTATTGCATTACGGATTGCCATTATTCATTATTAAAACTGATATTCAGCAAAAGAGACAGGGCATGTATCATATTTTTCCAATGAAAATGAAAGTAGGCAGTTATGTTATAGGTTCTGTTTTGTTATAAATATACATACAGTGTAGATGATGGTCATATAAATATGCAGCTACAAGACACCTCGATATTTTTAGTGTCTGTTAAAATAATATCAAAATGAAAATAGGCAGTTCCTTACATCGTGTTTTCATTTTATAGTTAAAACAACGTAGCCAAGTGAAACAATGTAGCCAGGGCTAAGTAAATGACAATATAAAGTACACTGTTCCCTTTTAAGATTTCCCCATTGTGTCCTCTGGAGTTTGCTTTCCATATCAAACTTACAAGAAAAGGATGCAAGAGTGAACTTTGTGCACTTACACTAAGAAAAAAGCTACAATCAGATGTCTGCAGCCACGCCTCCAATTTCAGATGTCTCCATTTTCCCCCATCCCCACTAACACGGAGCAGCATCGCTTTAAAAGAAAACAGCCTCTTTAGCATTTACAAAACGCTCCGTTTTCAGGGCTTGACTCCAGGGTAGTGTGGATGGAATGCGTAGTAAAAGTTATGCGTGTTAAAACTCAAACACATCAGTGTAAACGGGGTCTTAGTATCCTTACAAAAATTTCTTTAGTTAGAAATTAATGCATTTTGAGTGGTGTACATCAGGTGTTAGTTTTAGGATCATTTTTGATGAGGGGGGAAAAAATAGTTATTTTTTATTGAGGTGGGTGGATTGCTTGCAATCACTAACCAGTTGTTAAATTAAAGCTGTTAATTGGAAAAAGCCAAGTTCCACCCAAAATAAATAAATAAACACACAACGTTAAACCTTTTCAATGGAAGAAAAAAAAGACAAGAGCAACACATATATAACCTAACCTAGCCTGGTTTCTTCCAATAATAGAGATCTTTTGTATCTACTGAGGAAGTCAGAAGATTTTCTGTGATAATCAACTTTATGCTACAGCAAATCTACTTTTATTTATATTAAATGAATCAATAGATACAAATCGACATTATTTTCTATAGTAATTTACAATATGCAACAGCAGCTTTGAGCTTAGCTTAATTTATATTAAACCCCACATCACTCCTAAAAACAAATGTGTTTCTATACTACAGTATAGGAGTCTGGTGGTCGGATTATTATTATACACCAATTATTTTTCTAGTAATTTTTTGTGCTTTGTTTTTGGACAGGTCTGAGTGAGAAGATTTCTAATACTAATCAACAGAGAATGACTTGAAATAGGCAAGGGAAAACAGTCCCAAAACAAACATTTCCGATGGAAGATAGAAGGCAACCGCGTATTTCATCCCGCCGGAGGATCCAATAATTAACATTCCCATTAATATTCCTTCCACAGAGCCTTAGTGGCTCTGGATGCTTCTGTGAAATGCAAATTGCTGTACACAGAGGCTCCAGAATGGGAATCGTGTGACTTCAGGGGAGGGACGCCTCTCTACAGCAATAGAGCTCAGAGAATTTTCAGGTACCCCATTGATGACAGGAGGGCTGGAGAGACAAGAGGAGACCTGAACTACAGACTTGCCTTGAAGAGAAATATTCAACTCTACCTTCATTATCTAATCAAGAGTGACTCAGTCTGTAAAATATAAGATTTTTTTTTTTTATTTATGTTTGTTTTGCCCTTCTAAAAAAATAAAAATAAATAACGGCTTGATTGCCTGGAAAGGGCCAAGGAGAAATATACTTCATACTTTGAAGACTATTTTCTTTTCTCCATTTTCCTTTGCTGATGAATTCACAGCAAAACAAAAGCATCTACAATCGGAAAAGGAAAAACATGGACATGAAGTGATGAAATCAATTCCAGCATGTGCACAGCGTTTCTGCTTTAGGTTGCAATACTCAAAAAAAAAAAAAAAAAAAAAAAACATAGTTCGCTATTAAAAGCCAGCCCTTATGTTTACTGGCACACAGTGAGCATGATACTAGACGAATTCCATGTTTCCCATCATTGTAAACAGAGCTCTGTTATGAAGACATCAGTGTGCATCCCGAATACAAACATGCCGAGCTGAAACCAAATCAGGTGAATATTGACATGTGTGCTTATGACAAATACAAGCAAATTATCCACATCGTGCCAGGAATTCTGGTCTGCTTCGGCAAAGGATCATTATCAGAAAAACAACTTCTCAGCTCGTAAAAGCTGCAAGCAAAGGATCTTGCTCTCCAGAGCGAGTAATCAACATGAGGAGGACAGCAAGTGTGTGTCTGGGGGAGAAAAGAATTGGTAAAAAGATGAGTTATGAGATGTGTGTGTGTGTGTGAGTCTCAGTGTGTTTACAATTCTGGAGCAGAAAAGTGTGACTGTAGCAAAGATATTGATCAGAGTGCAAACTCGTAATGATGGTTAAAAAGAACTGAGTTCGGCCGCAAGCCCACAGTCTTTTGTGGTGCCTAAGGAGTCAACAAAGTCTCAGATGAAGGAAACTTCAAAGAGTAGAAAAGTAAAAACTGTAACGAAGTTAAAGAAGAGCAGCTTGAACTTTTTCTTATTTCTTATAATCTTCTCAGAACACCTCTATATTAACCTTTTATTGGGGTATTTAACCGCTGGGTTTTGATTGAACTATTATAGACTGGTTCATACCTTGGGGTCGGCAGTGAGAAGTTTGAAGGCTGCATACACCTGGTTCTCCTTTACACCTCCGCCCAGGTCCAAGAAGTTTGCCGGCTTCCCGCCATGCAAGTCAATGATGTCACATGTTGCCATAGCAAGGCCAGCACCATTAACTGTGGACACAGATCATATTACAGCATCAGCTAAAATAAATACGGTCTTGTCGTACGGTATGATAAGACAGTATGAAGATAATCATCACCTTTGGACAATTTTGGGAAAAAATATTTTTATCCACTTCAAATGTTGACTACCGTACATTCACCCTCATACTGAATATCTATCTTTCCAGGAAGAAATAATGTGACTTTTTAAAATGATTCGCTTGTAAGGTCAAATAAATGTAGACCAGAGATTTTGAGTACACTCAATTTATTATTTTTCTTGTTTTGCTTGTTCAAACTACTTATTTAAAATCAACACACTTCTTAAGATTTTATTGGGACAACTTTTTTTTTTTTTTTTCAATCCACATAAATTTGTAAAAAGTTTTAAGTTAACTTAAATGATTTGTGTTGGGACACCATGAATGAATTGTGTGGAACCCTGCATTTACAAATGAAAGTATATATAAGTATAAAAGAGTGTTTTCATGTTGGAGAGAAAAATGTAAGCAAAGCCACTGAACTGAACAAATATTGCACATTTTTGCTCACTGCTGCTCATAATGATCAACTACTTTCATGTTTTGGCCTGTACTAACGAGCTGGAAGGAAAAAAAAATATATAGAGTTGAATTCACATTGAAAGGCATCTTTAGCATACAAGATTCAGATACTTCAGAAATTTTAACAGTAAAATCATAATTTGGTAATATAATGTCTTTACTTCTTACACTAAATGCTTGTGCTAAATCTTGGACTGAATCTATAAAAAAAAAAAAATTAAATACCCTAGCAATTTGATATTTATCTTGAATTAAACGTCCCTGAGATTTTAACTCAATAGCTTTATTATTAATATTTTGTATTTTTTTTGCACTTTATTAATATTTTCCCATACTTCCCTACTATTCCCTTTTGCATTGTTATAAGATCAATAAAAAATGTTGCTTTTGCTTGTCTTAGTTTCTTTACAACTTTATCACATAACATGTGATGTTTATAGTTAAATCTAATCAGCTCGTCCACGTTGCACATTTACAATCAAACTACATGCAAAACAAAAAATTATTTTAGATCCTAACCCCATTGACAGCACAATTCGCCCTCTAAATCCACTGCCCACTGCTTTCCAAAGCAAGCAAATTGTGTTTGACTAAAAGTGTACGGGGTGTCAAGAGCGCTTGTAGTATCTGTGTTATCCGGCTTGTTGAGCCGCTTTGAGCTGTAAAGCAGCCAACGGATTCAGCCATTTCCAGCTCATCCCAGCTCTCCTGGATAACACATCTCTCCTTATTCAGTTCTTCAGTGCCGAGCGAACACGCTGGCACAGGCTCTGACACTCCACTCAATAAAGCCAAATTCAGCCCAACAGCTGTCGCGTTGCTGGTTTACAAAGCTTTTAAGGTGCAAACTAACTGCGAGTAAATTGTGCGTGAGTGCGTTTGTGTGTACACGACAAGGTCAGTTAGAGTCACCAATGCGCTCGTCTTGTTCTCAATGCTTTGCTGTGAGAGCCCTGATTTATAATGAGGGACCACTTAAATGTGTAGCCTAACAATCATATTTGCTTGAGTCGTTTTCCGGAAGATTCCTGCTAATTAGAGCCCATCGGTTCAGGCAGGTCCCTTATGGAGCTGTTTCAAAGCTGCTGGAGATGATGACTGGATTGGCGCCCATTTGGTAACACTTTCACAAAAATCCCGTCCTCAAGACTAAAATAAATGCGTCGGAAACTACTAAGAAGACTCAGGTTTGAAATCTCTCTTGAGACATGAGATTGATGCAGAGCAGGTTTTTGAGAGCTTTGAAATCAGGATGTTTTGAAAAAGTTCATCTCGTGTATTGTTAATGATCTTGTAAATTTTATGGAAGTTTAAAAACATACCGAAACAGGCGATGTTTCCATCCATTCCGATGTATTTGAGGTCGTATTTTGCCGCTTCGGTTTCGATGGGGTCACTTTCTGCAGTGTCGTCCATGGAGAAAACCGCTTTCTGTCTGAATTCTGCATTGTCGTCGAAGTTGATTTTAGCATCAAAGCACACAACTGTTGAAAGAGAAAGAAGAAACGTGTTCTAACTCGGGCAGTCTTTTGAAATTTAGCTCGTATTGCAGCATTTTTGGTACAGTTGTTCATTAATTAAATTTAGAATTAAAAAGTTATATTTAGGAGCTTTAAAGTGTCCCTTTTTATATTAAAGATTTGTTTTAAAGCTCATAATACATTTTATAGCTGACATAAATATTGTAAATTAAAAATATATATATTAGGGGTGTCAAAATTAATTGTTTTTTTGGTGCACCGCGATGCAGACGCGGACAATACATTATCGGTTCAGTAATAATCATAACCGGTTATTATGTACTGACGTCATTTATCTCCAACGCGCTCTGTCGCAAGGGAGGTGAGCGCGAGTATTTACTACACTCAGCCAACTCAGGGCCGGCCCGTGGCATAGGCACCATAGGCAAATGCTAAGGGGGCTGTATATTCAGGGGGGCGCCAGAAATGAGCGCGGTTCAGTTAGTTTTGTTTTCGATATTCCTGACACACATTCAGTTACAGACGGCATTAACTCAAAAACCTCTTACCCTAAAAAGATCTAAAGTGTGTTTCCTACAAAAAGACAAAGCTGGTTATGTTTCACAGCTGTCTTTCTTTTTTTTGACTCGACATTATGAGCACTGCCCCGTTTAAGCCCTCGCAATATGTGTTTAGTCGGGAGAGCTCACGCTGAGAGGAGCAGCTCTCAGTAAGGGACCGTCGGAAAAGTGCTTCTTTTTTTCGTTTTTTTCATTTTTCTGCTCCGCTCAGCGCGAGCTCTCCCTGTTGCAAGGGCTTAAGTGTGTGTGTGTGTGTGTGTGTTTGTTGCTGTCTATGTTTGTGTATGTGTTTGAATGTGAGACAGTGTGGTGCTGCGTCTGTGTGTTTATACAGACAGAATGTTATAGCCTCCCCCCTAAAACATAATACTGAATATGGAAAGCATTGTCAATGCACCGTGATGCACCGAGATATCGAATTGAACCGAATCGAAGGCATGATAATTGTAACCGAACCGAACCGTGAGACCAGCATAGGTTCACACCTCTAATATATATATATATATATATATATATATATATATATATATATATATATATATATATATATATATATATATATATATATATATATATATATATATATATATATATATATACATATACATACTCCTATATGTATATAAAGAGTTCAGATGCAAAAGCCGCTAAATGCTAAATCTGCCAAAAATGAGCTAATGACATTGAGTGAATGCTTTAGGCAAGTTGTACTCCATCAAAAAATAGATTTGCTTCTAATCATCCAAATCCCAGAGTCAGCCCATTCAGAAATAACAGTTTGTTGGCAAAAGCCTCTAAACACCACTTTGACAGCAAAAGCCCGAGAACCAATCAGATGGCACAAATCGAATCATATGTTTTCAATGTAGCAGTGCACCGATACGCCGGCTTTTATGAGGAGACTGTTTGATTCTACTTTCGATTTTAAAAGGCGAAGTTTGATGAACTTGATGAACCTGTCCGACTGTCAGTGAATGGCAAATGAAATGTCCCTTTAATGAAACGTCCCAACTAATTACACTGTCTTGTCCCCAAAAAAAACAAAAACAAAAAAAAACAGAAGTGGATTTACCTGGTTTTGATACAAAAGAAAATCTACCTTCTTAAAAACCAAAGAATTGTCCAAAGTGACATATTTGAAAAAAAGTAGTTTTATTTACTAGCTGATAACCTTGTCATTGCATTTAAAATGAAACTTCTAAACCTAATTAGAGGAGCCTGAAAGAAAATGCTTATTTACTAGAAAAGAGGTCTGATGGATTTAGAGGGTTTTGCATCTGAACTCTTCATATATGTATATAGAAAATAAATGTGTACACCCCCTTTTGAAAATTCATATTTATATCCATTACTCTCTGAATAGAGATGATAAGTGTTTGTTATATTAGAACAAAACAGATGTATTGAAGGAATATATTCATTAATACAATATTTTAGTCACTAAACATCTTTAGAAATAGAAAGATAATACATTTAAATGGATGTGAAATAATGCAAAAAAAAAAAAAGACAATTATGTGTATATAGTATGTATATCAGTGGTGCCCAATCCTGTTCCTAGAGATCTACCTTAAAGCAGAGTTCAGCTTCAACCCTGATCAAAAACAACTAAACCAACTAGGATCTGAAGGAGCACTTGTTAATTAAAGACAGGCGTTTGATCAAGGTTACAAGTCCAGGAACAGGATTGGATATAAACTGTACAGTATATTGTTTTGCTGATGATTTTTTTATTTTTATTTTTTCATTAGATTATCTCCAGAATATTTATATTATTTATGTAAAATATATAATAGACCCTTTCACACATACAGACCTTTCCGGAAAATTACTGCCAATTTTCCAGAAAGGTCTATGGGTGTGAACAGGTACAAAGAAACGTTTCTGCAGGTGTTTAGAAATGAAACTAAAGAGACAGTTGCTGTTTAATTTTATTGGTAATTCCTAATATGTAATGTAAATGAAAGCTTGGCAGTTTTGGAGAATTTGATGTTTCCCCATTCAGAAAGAATGCCCGCGCATACTGCCTGAGAGGCGTTTCTAAGATGGCTGCCGAGTGAAATGACTTGCCTTAAAGGGACTTTGACATTGCGACGGATTCACACATGCACTGTTAATTAAAATAACCCAAACACATTTTTTCAGACACACTTAGCTGCACACACACACACACACACACACACACACACACGCATATATATATATATATATATATATATATATATATATATATATATATATATATATATATATATATATATATATTTATATATATATATATATATTTATATATATTTATATATATATAAAGATATGTTAACAAGACTGAAAAGCATAGCAGCAGACACAACTCTAACTCCATGCAGTGCATACATCCTCAAAAGATATACATTTCTGCTTTAACTTTAACTGGATTAAATATTTATGTTTAAGATATATTCATTAAAGTATAAATAAATACAATAAATTAATAAAAACACTCAACAAGAAAATTATGAACCAAAGATCACCTATAGTTTTTGCTTAGTTTTCACATCACCACACTCGTATCAAGATCTTTTTTCCCCTCCACTTCTCAAAGCATCAGTTATTATTCAAAGCCATAGTGTTGGTCGAATGTGGCAAATTGGCAATGTCGATTCAACATCTAATAACCTGAACCTGCATATATGTAAACAAAAGCATTCAGCTCTGATCACAAACACCAGTAGTTTCAACATGATCCACACAAATATGTCTATATATTTTATAAAGCGGCGGTATCTTATACAACAAGCAGGCGCACAGAAACAGATGCGGTATCAGAACATTAGCCAGGGAATAGAGTTGTCGGTGACTCTTTTGGCCGTATGTGACCAGACCCAGCAACTCCCTCATTTGCAGTGTTTTGCAGCTTCTCGCTGTCTCTCGGCGCTCGCTAGTCGCTAACAAAGCTAATCTGTGTAGGGAAGTACAGCAGGTTCACCGAGCTATTATCAAACTCAACTTCACACTGTCACCAGGAGGGTTTTACTCACTACATAACAGAGCTCAGATAAAAAAGAAGAGGAATCTTTAGCATACAGTCTGTATTTTCAACTTATAATACAGTTGTAAGTCGCTTTGGATAAAAGCCTCTGCTAAATGACTAAATGTCATAAAAAGTTGTAATTTTTCCCCTGTATAAAATTAAATGATTAACATTAAACAACATTTTATAAGTTTGAAGCAAAGCATATATTAAATTCAAGAGAAAAAAAACACATTTAGATGCAACAAATTTGGTTTTTGTTTAAAAGTTGATTGATAGCATGTTTTATGTTGCTGTCAAGAAAAAAATATCTTGATTAATGTCAGTGTCATAGTGTTGTTCCTAAATAAATATAAAGGAAAAAAACACAATAGAACAATGGTACAATATTTGAGATTGTTATTAAATTAAAATTTAAGCTCTGAATCAAACTATAGTTTAAATTTCCCTCCCCCAGGCCAGGTCACTTTCGTTTTCATTTTCAGGTTGAGGGCAGCGTGATAGTCCTTTGCCTGGAGCGACATTTCAGCTTGCTCCGGCCCTGATAGCATTAAAAACACTTATTCTCAATATTCCACATTTTATCTGCACTACTGGTAAATGTTTGTTATGACAAATAAAATTGAATAACAAAATATAAATATGTAATTTTAAATATGCAAATTAAACTTACTGTAAGTAAAAGGGCACCCATTTTACTCCTTTTTTATTTAAAAAGCCCATATTATGGGTTTTTGAAAAAGCCCTTCCATGTAGTTTGTAACACAGCTCTAAGTGAAGTGAAGTATCCAGCTAAGGCTTAAATCTGTAAGAGTACAGTGTTTAAAACTGTTGATTCATCTATAAAAGAGTCGACTCATAGTGCTTTAAACGAGTCGCCTTGATGCCGAGTCATTAGGTGTTTCGCCATGACGTACTAACGAAACCAAGTTATTCCCCAGGAGATTTCAAACCTGCGGCCCCGCCCTCTAACACAGACACCCAGACACACACACATACACAAACACACAAACATGCCGGTCGATTGAAGTCACACTGCAGATGGATATTATTGAGTCTCTACCCAAAGATGAAACCTCAGCATTATAGCCAAGCAGTTGGAAACAACTGGAAACTTCTGGAAACATGCTACAAAGAATACTTCATCGCCGTTTGTTAAAGGAAAGATCAGTAAAGAGTAACTTACTGCTGGACATGTCAGGATGGGTTTCTTCCTCTATTTTTCAAGTGTAAGTATGTGTGATTAAAGTTGCCTCGTTGGCTCTAGCTTGCAAATGTATTTAGTTGTGATTTGTTACGTATAACCGCGTGTACTGTATCAGGTTAACTCGCTTTATTCTCATATCGGGTGCAAAGCCATGTTTAAAACGCGACGCGTGCTGCTTTGTTTACGGAGCACCATGGAGGAGGGTAGTGTGTGTGTCTGTGTGTGTGTGTGTGTGTGTGTGTGCGCGCGCTGTCGTCCGAAGGTGTGTGTGTTTGTGTGTGCGCGCGCGTTGTCGTCCGGAGCAGGGTGTTTGTGTGTGTGTGTGTGTGTGTGCAATATGTGTGTGTGTGTCTGTGAAAAGAGCAGAGTGAGACAAGCTAGAAGATCTCCTCAACTGTTTTTGGAGTTTTTGCTCAATAAAATAGATAGACGTCTGTATTTTCAAGTCCATAGTCTGTATTTACATTCACCCACTGGCAGCTAAAATCCACGCCTACACTATCGAGCGTGTATGAACTGTGATTACTTTTATATTGCTGATTAGCTGTTGGGCATTTCACTCTCTCACTGAAGGCAGTCGACCAATCGCAACAGACTGTCATCGGTCCAATCAGCGCAGATTAGCTTCGCGCTAAGGAGGGGTTTGGGAACAAATGAAACACTGGACGTTTCATACGGGAGTCGCTGGGATAATTAGGTAAAAATAAATGCAGATTATAAGACCATGAAAGTGTTTTTTGACCTTGCATGCATATTAAACTGTTGTTGGAGACACTTACAACCAAGATATGACCCTATTTCATGTATATTATGGGCTCTTTAATAAATGTCTTTCGTGTCTCCAGAATATGTCTGTAAAATTTTAGCTCAAAATACCCATCAGAATATTTATTATTCCTATCAGAATATTCAATTCAATTCAATTCAATTCACCTTTATTTGTATAGCACTTTTACAATGTAGATTGTGTCAAAGCAGCTTTACATAGAAGATCATAGTAAATTGAAACAGTGTAGTTCAGTTTTCAGAGTTTAATTTCAGTTCAGTTTAGCTCAGATCAGTGTGGTTTAAAAATCACTACTGAGAGTCCAAACACTGAAGGGAAAATCCATCGATACTTAGTACAGTAAGGTCTTTCCCAGTGGTTATTTGATGTATTTGTTGTGAAGGTAATTCAAGCCTTTCTGCAATGATGAGTCACACACAATGTCATTACAAAGTTTGCGCGCACACACACACGCATACATATGTTTAACTTTGCACTGTTTTGAAAGGCAAAAGTGACAGGATACATGCTAATATCCACTGCTGTATGGATATCCGGTATGTTAATGAACAAAATAAACCTGATTTAACGTCCACAAACCAGGATTGAAGCATCTTCATTTATAATTGTACTGACATTATGTGCCTGTGGTGATGAATTACACAGTGATTTTACTGACTTTAAAAAACTTTTTTTTTACTGACTCTTTTTTTGAGATGCAGACGATTACAGGAAGCTAAACAGATCTTTTAATGCCAGCTGCTTTATGCAAGACCTGTCTTGTGGATATGATTATAAGCGTTACGATGGAGACATGTTAATATGTGGCTGTATATCAATTTCGTGGGCAGTCCCACATCACGTTACAGTGAGCCTCAAAGTTGGATAAATAGTGGGACCTATTGTCTTTATATCACCCCAATATGACTGTGGACACACTATACAGTACATACACACAGTTCTGTCCAAACAAAATCCAAAAGATTATTTTCATTATAGGTGCCCTTTAATATTAAAATTTTGTTTCTTAGAAATGAATTTTTGGTTGGTGCCAATATACTCTAGCCTAGTGGTTAAGAATGGTAAATAGCCTTAATGTATGTGTTATATGTTTTTTTTGATTATGAAATACAGTATAATAAGAAATACCTAAAAACAAACAAACAAATAAGAACTGACATGACAAACAAAAATATACTGTCATTTGTAGCCAAAGCAACAGATGAGTTTCACCATTAAAAAAGCTTGATGATACAGTACCTTTGGAAGTGTTTTAAGTAGTAGAGAGAGACAGTTATTTGTCACTTTTTGACTAATACAAAATACAAAGAGAGCAAGTGAGGCATCTAAAGATAGACAAAGCCATTTGTAGACTTTTGTTTTGATCTTGCTGTCAAAAGAAAGGAAATATCTCCATTGATGTCATTGTCTCCATTGTGACTTTCGTAGAGAAAGCATACAAATAAAGTTTAGGAATATAAACTGTTTGGCTGAGATAAATGCATATGTAAAACTAATTATCCAACGTAAAGAACGAATAAAATGAGAGATGAAAAAAATATTGTAATTGTAATTAAATAAACTAATTAATTATTTAAAATAAAAAATAAAAATCTAGCAAAATAAAAATATGAATAAATGTAAATATTTTAAAATATAAAGTATATGTGAGATTAAGGGTGCTTTCACACTTGGTTCAATTGCCTGGACCGTACCCAAGTTTGATTGTTCCACCTTGCCACCTCCTCAGTTGGTTTGTGTTCACACTGTTTTTTTCCTTCTGAACGTGGTACACTTGCTTCATCGTGGTGCTGTTTTGTTTATGGCCGTTGCTAGGTGACGTTCACGAAAGCAAGCTCCGAAATGGAAAGACGTCTGCACATCATGGTCAGTCTGCTTTAACTGAATCTTTTGGTTTCGAAAATACAGAAAGCGACTCGCGTCCATCTGCCGATAAAATATTATAAACTGAAAGAAATAGGCCTGTACTCACTTTTCACATATCCTGTTGTGTTTTTCCTGACATTATGCATTATGATAATAATTCAGAACATACAGTGTCTGCAGAAGCTGTTTTTGGAGGAGACAAGCAGACATCACTGTGTATCACTGTTTTTGCCCTGGCTCAGTCCAGCACGTGTCACCAAGGTACGAAACGTTACACAGACACACACACAGACACACACACACACAGACACACACAGACACACACAGACACACACACACACACACAAACACACACAAACACACACAAACACACAAACACACACACACAAATGAACGTCATGAAAACAATAGTTTGTTGTACAGTTGGTGGTTCACTTCCGTTATTTGGTACGATTGCATTTACATCAGAAGTGAACCACCGTGCCGTGAAAAAAAAGAAAAGAAAAGAAAAGTGGAAAAGTACAGGGGAAAAAAAAAGCATTGGCACTTTTTTTGTGACGGCCCCTATGAGAACTAAATCATTTTGCCATTATGTTGTAGGGCCGAGATGATTTCTCTCCTCTTCTTTAATTTGACAGGCTAATACTGCAGGCATTACCCTCTCTGGACCCACTGTATGTAATTTCATACCAATAAACCTTACAACATCCTACATCATTTCCTAACAGGTACCTATAAAAAACAAAACAAGTGGAAAATGATGTTCAGAGCAGTATTTGGTCATATTAACAACATATTTGTGCCAGCGTTACATAGCTGAAAGCTTTTCTGACTCTGCACTTTCCAAACCCGCATTTCATTTAACTATTAGTGTGAAATGACATTTATCTTGAAAGCTGCAAGTCTCTATTTAGATCATTACAAGAGCTCTTATGCAATCTGTGAGCAAGCATTTCTGTCTGTCAAACACACACACACACACACACACAAACACAGATCTCACCTTGTCCCTCAGGTGTTTCTCCAAGTGGATTGACTTCGACTTGAGTGGCGTCTACTTTGAGGAACAGATCATAGAGTCGCTTAATCTGATCTGCAGCCTGTGACAGAAGCACAGAGAGAACTAATTACTAACTGAACACAACTCTGAGAGCTTATATAAGCAATTCAGCTACATTCAAATCTCTCAAGCACCATACAGTGGAGATCAAAATGTATATAAGGTTTATAAGCATATTTCATGAGTTGTGCTGGGCGATTAATTGAATATGATACAAGTACAAAATATTACAAATTAAAATAAAATTATATTACTAAATAAAATTAAAAATCCATGCTCTCATGCAGAAATTTAACAAAGTAAAAAAAAGTAAAAAAAACATAGCTGCTGAATAAACAGAAGATTTAACTGATTTCATTTATTCCGTGCAGTAAATGACAGATTTGCATTTTGTTTTATTTGCAGGAATATTTACAACATATCTGTCTCTTAAGAGATATTAATGGGAGATATAGAGCAATAAATTTTATTTATATGCATTTCAGTCTGTGCTAGTCTTATATACTATTGTAGAAATATAAGTATTATTCATTCGTTCACCACATTTCTATATAAGTAAGGCTGAGCTGCTTTTTGTTCTGTACTTTCCTTAAAAATAAAATGGGCCAGTAAAAAGGTGATGCAACAAGAAGCCTAAAAACAAACAAACAAACAAACAAACAAACGGACGGACGGACGGACGGACGGACGGACGGACGGACGGACGGACGGACGGACAGACAGACAGACAGACAGACAGACAGACAGACAGACAGACAGACAGACAGACAGACAGACAGACAGACAGACAGATAGATAGATAGATAGATAGATTTGATCAATGGCTCTGTTAGAAGTTTTGAGATTGATTATTTTTAGAGAAAATCAAGTGTTCATATACAGTTGAAGTCAGAATTATTAGCCCCCCTTTTATTTATTTATTTTATAAATATTTCCCAAATTATGTTTAACAGAGTAAAGACATTTTCACAGTATGTCTGATAACATTTTTTCTTCAGAAGAAAGTCTTGTTTTATTTCAGCTGGAATAAAAGCAGTTTTTAATATTTTGAAAAAAAAAAAAAACATTTTTAGGTCAAAATTATTAGCCCCTTTAAGATTTTTTTTTCAATAGTCTACAGAACAAACCACCATTATACAATAACTTGCCTTATTACCCTAACCTGCCTTGTTAGCCTAATTAACCTAGTTAAGCCTTTAAATGTCTTTTTAGGCTGTATAGAAGTGTCTTGAAAAATATCTAGTCAAATATTATTTACTGTCATCATGGCAAAGATAAAATAAATCAGTTATTAGAGATGAGGTATTAAAACTATCATGTTTAGAAATGTGTCAAAAAAAATCTCTGTTAAACAGAAATTGGGGAAAAAATAAACAGGGGGGTTAATAATTCTGACTTCAACTGTATGTTTACATTTTGTTCTCCATTGTATATTTTGTGTCATGTACTGGACGTGGGCCAATATTACGGCAGTATCTTTAAATGGACGTTTACTCCATTTAAAGACGAGTCAGAATGTACTCTGGGTCACTGCTTAGACAATGAGAAGTTTCCTTGAATAATAACTTGAAACGTGACAGAAATTGATTTGGAGTCAGTCAGGCCATTAACTCAGCAAGAGTGGAGTCACTGTGGCAGTTAAAGCGGCCCTGCTGAGAGACTCCACACGTCCATTGGCTCTCTTGCCCATGTGTAAATCAACCTTACGTCTGGAAAATGAAGGAAAATCGTTGATAACTTTCAATAGATGCATCAGATTTTGTAATACTTTTATATTTTTATAACAATATGTTGATTTTTTTTTTTGCATATTTTTCAGTACACATTTTTCAACATGCATACAGTTGAAGTCAGATTAGCCCCCCTGAATTATTAACCCCGTGTTTATTTTTTCCCCCAATTTCTGTTTAACGGAGAGAAGATTTATTCAGCACATTTCTAAACATAATAGTTTTAATAACTCACCTCTAATAACTGATTCATTTTAACCTTGCCATGATGACAGTACATACTATTTTACTAGATATTTTTCAAGACACTTCTATACAGCTGAAGTGACATGTAAAAGCTTAACTAGGTTTATTAGGTTAACTAGGCAATATAGGGTAATTAGGCAAGTTATTGTATAATGATGGTTTGTTCTGTAGACAGCTGAAAAAAATAGCTTAAAGGGGCTAATAATATTAACCTTAAAATGTTTTAAACTTTAAAACTACTTTTATTTTAGCTAAAATAAAACTTTCTCAAGAAGAAAAAATATTATCAGACATACTGTGAGAATTTCCTTGCTCTGTTAAACATCATTTGTGAAATATTTTAAAAAGAAAAAAAAAAAAAATCAAAGGGGGTGAGGGATAATAATTGAACAGTATATCTGCTTAATGTTTTTGTTTTTTTTTAGTACATTTCATAATATTTCATAATGTCTATTTCTATTCATAATACTTTTGACTTGGGACTTTTGTCAATTTCAGTTACATCTGAAATAAAATTAAAGTGGCGGCCAATTACCCACTTTTCCAAGTGAAAAGTCTATAAATGTCACACATTAAGTTATGAATTTTTTATTATACTTAAATATTTAAATACTTTAAATGTAAACTTACATATTAACTTGAGCAGCTGTTATCTCATGCTAACTGTCTCTGTTTCACTGATGCAGTGGTGTTGTTTTTATAAATATATGGTCATAATTGCTATAACTCTGCATGAGCACATCAAGTTCAGCTGAAGAAAAAAAAAAGCTTTTTTTCAATGTTGCCATGGTGTCTCGTAATATCTGCGCTCCATTGATAATGCCTTTTTTATAGTCGCAGTCTGCACACTTAACTATGAATTAGCCTATTCAGACTTGATTGACCTAACTCACATCAGCTGTTCTCAGTTATTAATCTCTCTGTATGTAAACTCAGAGTTCAAGTTTAAACTCCGAGTTGGTTGAACCTCCTTACTTAAACAGGCCCAATGAGTTATGGGTGTGTTTTAACCATTAAGCCAATCAATGTCTCATCTTCCATTCCCTTTAGGAGTCAGTTGTGTCATGCCATGGCGCAATTGCTATTTACATGGTATTTTTTACAACAGTTTAACTGCTTGGCACAAACAAATGACTCATGAATAACCACATAGACAACGCTTCATAACCAGCAATTGAGGTTAATCCAATGGTTTTAAGAAGGGACATGTACATTTTTAAAAATGGTCGTATTATAACCACAGTTTTTGGCTAGAATATATTTAAACATCTGATACTGTATGTGAAATAAATGATTTAATATAACACTTAAAACATTTTTTTTATGATTGCTTTTACTTTGTTAAAATATCTGTCATTCTGCCAAGTCTGCAAGGGGGTAAACATAAGAGTAGAGCTGTACATACAGCAAATAATTTGATTACATTGACTCAAACATAAAAAAATAAAAATAACAGGTAAATATAACAAACATATCCATAAATCTGTCTAGAATAATCCTTTCATTAACAAACAAAGCATCTATCGTGGCTGAGATTTGACGAGACTTTAAGACAGGAAAAATAAGCGACTGTTTATTGCTCTACACTTTTGCTATTTCATGTGTTTTCTGAAAGCATGTCATCCAAACAAATTCTACTTTCAAAGCATTTAAGAGCTAAAGCGACATCTCCCTTTCCCAGAGCCAGCGGAAGCTCTTTTGATAATGAGCGCATGCTGACAGAAAACATTGTAGCGCCGCTCTCATCGGCTCTTTGTCATATCGCTACACTTCAAAGAGCTAAAGCTAAGTTAACGCAATACTGCATCCCAAACATGCTAATTAGCATGGACTCAAATAGATGCTCGCCAAAGATGCGCAGTGAAGGAAAGACTTTGAAAAGAGCCAAACTGACAAGCCAGACGTTCAGCAGTGATTTCAGTAATGCCAGGCTTCTCGAGTGTCTACAGAAGGAGAAATATACACTTGTAAACATAGATAAACGATGTTGAGGGATTCGAAAAGATAACGTTTTAATCCAGATCATATTAATACAGATCCAGAATGTTGTGAATTTACACTACTACGTTTTGATAGGGGATTTGGGGTAAACAATATGGCACTTTTACAAGGTTTGACTGATTTCTCTCTAGTTTAACTAATAGCAGGTAATATTATCTTGCTTTTTAAGCATTTAAACCATCCAGTAATCTCAATTTATTAACAGTATAAATCTGTGTATAAATTTAATCTTTATTTACTATAGTACATATTAAGCATAGTTAGAGCCATATTAAAGGACACACAAGATACAATGTTTCAGTAATAAATATATGAATGAATAAATAAATAAATAAATAAATACATGTAATATACA